CAGGTGACTTAGTATAAAACCAGACTCAGTTATGCAGCCCTGTTGCCAAAGCTGAACAGAGACCCATTTTGTTAACTTCCAGCTATTTTAACAACTATGCATGATTCACATTTGAAAATAATTCTTATTTTTCTTATACTGGGCCTTGGTAAAGCACATCACTACATCTACTACACGAACAATAAACAAATAAATAAATTGTTCCTTTTAAGGCCTGTAACCTTCTAACTGGCTGCCGCTCACTACCAGAAAGTTTGAATAGCAGGTGGGTGTGGTTTCTGTGCTCACAGCCAGTATTTAGAGCCTTTGGTTCATAGGGATTACTCTTAACTTGTTACTTTGGCCATGACAAATGTGAGCGTCTATGATAGCAACAGCAAATATGTTAGAGAAAATAAGGAAAAGCTTAACAGGTTCTCTTTCAAAATAAAAGTCCAAAGATGGCAAACCAGAGATGTTTCACTGAATTCGCATCACATTTCACATCGGATCATTTCTACACACTCACACGAATGTGATTTTAGCATAAAGTTTAGAAATATGCTTCATTCTGTGTTTTGAGCTTTTCTTGTCTACTTACCCCTTACCCTTATCCTGACACTCTTTCACCCATCCTGTGTTAGGGTGTTTTATTAGAAATGTTCCCTCTAATCTGTCCCTTCTGTCCCTTCCTCCCTCTCCTATTTCCCTCTGTCTATCTTGGGAGAAGTCCATGGTCATGCTCTGATTGGCCTGGAACCTTCCAGTTACCTTAGCAATGACATCGGCTGTTTCTCGGAAATCCTGACACCTGCCGATGCTTGAGCGTGCCAGGAAGTCCTCGATCAGACGCACACCAATGTTATAACCCCTGTGGAAGTCAGAACGTCAGAGAGAGAGAGAGAGAAGTGGGTAAGAGACAAAGTCATGTTTTCTTTTTATATTAAAGGAAAAGTAGTTGGGGGGAAATGACAGGCTAACCTGCGGCAAACTGTAAAGCCAAGGCAGACAGCTTCAAATCCTTCAAAATATTTTTGGTTCATATACTTGCCAAATAATGACATTTCTGATTAAAGAGTCCAGACAACTTAACCTAACAGCAGAGTCTGAAGCCAATGGATGCATCCCAATCCTAACATGGTCCGTCTCTAACCAGCTGGATGGCATCTGGCAGATTGGGCAGTGCAGATTCACTGCCTTCTAAGGCCAGGTAAGATGAGCCCCGTCCTGACAGCTCAGGGTTACCGCACAGCCAGAGAAACAAAGTACATCCAGTCCAAAGGTCTGTCAGCATGACAGGATAATTTAAATTTCTTAAGTTAGAAACCAATCATTTTGTCTTAATCTTATTCTGGGGGAGTACTGTCTCCTGCTTGGCATTCCTAAGATTCTTCTGTCTTAATATTAAATATTTGCTTCTTCAAAAGACCCCATCCAAAGAACTTACAAGAGGAGAAGCAGCAGTGTAAGAAATGAAATCCGATAAGACTACGTCTTTGCTCCATTTTGTGTCAAGCTATGTTATGAACTGAAAATAGGAAAACGCTTAAAGAGTATAATGAAGCTGTCAGCTATAAAGAGTCACCCAAGAGGCTTCAAAAATCCCAAAGGATGCATGATTGAGAGCATCCACTGAAAACCACAGGCTCAACATATGCGAGACAGAAGAACTGAACTTTGTTACAGATAAATACTCATGTACAGAATACTCGGCAATACCTTGTCATCAGCATTGTACTTCCTGTGATACGTTCAAAATTATGTATGATGTTATAAATTGTGTGTTTATTGCATTATGGCTTTGTGATGCACACCTGCACATCATAACAGTTATGTAGTGAGTTTCAGCGGCTTGGAATTATCTACCAGAAGAGCCAGGTTTATGTTTCTTAATGTATCAAATTAAACAGGCTGAATGATAGCACATACTTAATGGTACATAGATGAACTTATTAACTATAAATTAAACAAAGGGTGCCTTTGTTTTGACCTCAGATCATCAGATTGAGATGATCTGAGGTTTGGGACATGGTACTTAATCCTGCTGGAAAAAACCATCAGAAGATGGATACACTACACATTACTACATCACCAGCTTGATGCCGGACTGATCCATGCCTTCATGTTATTTAATAGCTTATCAAGCTTTTACGAGCTTAAAAGTCAGTTTTCTGTGTCACAAAAGTGGCTCTCTTTTTACCTAGCTAAATCACCGTGGTAACTTATGCTGAAGACCTGACCAGGTTATGTTCCAATTTTCAGTTTAAAATAAGCTGGATGGACCATGTTCGCACAGGTTTTTTAATTTGGTGCCAAATCTCTTTTACATTGCTGGAATTGCAGCTACCAGAACAAAACACATTCATTTCACTTTCCTCTGCTGACAAAGTAAAATGATTTCCACATCTCCTTTGTTAGGCTACAGAACAGAAACCTTTAATGTTTAAATGGAACTAGTTCAAAGATTCAAAGCTCAAATGTGCCGCAGTCACCTTTAAAATAAATAGCAGCACATGGAACTGTTTATTTACCGCTGTGTGAAATAAATCCCAAGATTAATGTTCTTCAGTAGCATTCTCTTTGTGACAATGGTGCATTTTACTGGTATATTTTTAATCACCATTTTATGATCATTATCTGAGGATCTGTCTCTTATTGCAGTAGGTGATACTCACTTTGTGTGAAAGAAGAGTCACATGACCTGTAAAATCACTATTTTTATGTAATCATTCACATAGCAGAGCAGAAACCCAGCTTAACAGAAAGGTGGTAAAAAGCACTGTGGTGGCTATTTTCGGTGACTGGGGCTTTCGACTGTGTCAAGCCAGCTAACACAGAAAAAGCGCTGTGCTTTTGAACTTCTGCTGCTGTATCCCAGTGTTTGACACACCGTGTATTCACAGATGCTCTTCTACATACCTTGGTGGGAACAAGTGCTTATTTGAGTTACTGTTGCCTCCCTAACAGCTTGAGACAGGATAACCTAAATGAACTGAGGTGTGATTGGCTGATTAGGAATTTGTGTTGAAGGGCAGCAAATAGGTGTACCTCATAAAGTACCTAGTTACTGTTTAAGTGATGGAAAAGTTTACCTTCTGTGTTTCTAATTAAGTAATGCTTCTTTTGTTTCACACAGCAAGTGCATTTAACAGTATTTACACAATTTTCAACCGACAGCTGGGTGTGAGCCCCAAAAGAGGATTTGGCAAGACTCGAGCTTAATTCAAAGTTTGTTATTCAAATGGTCACAAATTGAAGCACTAATGTCTGTCGGTTGTGCTTTAAAAAAAAAATGCCTTTGCTGTATGTGGAGCAAATGGTTCGTTCAAAGACAGGAAAAATCCTGCTTGAAAGAGTACTCACATCTTATCCAGCTGTTTATTGACCTCCTCATCATTCTCATAGTCTTTACAAAGCTGGGTGACCAGGGCCCCATAAGTCAGTGTGAACAACTCCGAGTTCTAAAAAACAAACAAACAAAAAACCAACAGAAACCACACAGATCACATGTTATGTTTGCCACACACAAATCTGGACAAATGACAACCTTTTTACCAGCAAGAAAAGCCTATATAAAAAATTTTAAGTTAAATAATAATTTGGGGATGGGATATTTTTGAACATCTAGAAGTTAAACAGATCGTCCCAGGGCAGCTCCTAGAATTGAACTAACGTTTGATGCCAGCTTAGGGTTGAATAACGTTTCATTAATATGTGGCACATTTTTCTATTGCTGATCTTTCAGTTTTCACACCAAACTTTAAAAGCTATACAGATCTAATGCTATGACCATAAAATAACTGTTAAGATTATAGCCACAGCTGACATGAATGACCTGTCACGGCACAGGAGCTACGATACCTGCTTGGAAAATAGTGTTTTAGCGTCGTTTTTAGAAAGGTATATTACAGTTTTAGTCAGCTCAGTTAATAAATTGCAAATTCATATACGTTCAACTGAAAAATCCTTTAAGAAATAGCTTTTAAATGTGTTTTTGTGTTTTGTTGTCATAGCTTAGCTTGTAGCTCCACTTCCTGTCAAAGCCAAACCCGGCATTAAGCAACAGTGAAATAAATGTTAAACAGGTACAAATAAACCTCTTGTACCTAGCCACACGTGCAAGATAAATATGCATAATTTGGCGAGTAGCTCAGCTCAGAGACATGAGTGAGTTGTTAATTTAGCCTTACAGCCACGGTTAGCATCCTGCTAGCTAAGCTTGCTATGTTGCCATTAATCCTGTGGGAGTCGCCTACCATCTTCTTGCTGTCTGTTGCCCGGTTGGCTTGTCTGGACATTGTGACGGGTGTTACGGGCTTACACAGGTGGTGCACTCGATATTAATCCTTTATTTATTTGATTCGGGCTAAGCAGTTATTTCCGTAATCGCCTGTTTAAGTCGCTCTCGCTGTATCAAGCGTCATGAGATAGAAACATGAACTTCCGGTCTTACTTAAAAGTAAAAGCTTTATTGCGGGAAATTCGCGAGTAAACCATTGAAACTAAAGAAAACGGTGCAATGAGGAATAAAAAGCCTTTAAAATTACACTCTGTTGTTGCCGATATTTAGACAAATGTAGCCTCTTATGTATAACACCAGATAATACACTTTATTTTGAAAGAAACTCATTTTTTCCTACAGTTTTAGGGGTGTGTTTGACGCAGTTTTTGTTCAGCTGCTTATCTTACCGCCCTCTGGCGTCTTGGAGGGGAACCGAGGACCGCAAATTCTTGGTCTCAACAAAATCTTCCCATAATTGACCACACGATGGCGATATGGGCAATATATTGATAAATTGGGAGTTTTAAAAGCCTGCTTTATAAAATTGTAAGATTCCTTGACAAATAATTTAAACCTATAGTCGTTAAAAAAGTTTTTTCTCAATAAGTGTAGTGATTACTCTTGCTCATAACATAACTTTTAACTCTACAGATATTGTCCGTGTGTGAAAGAGAGAGAAAGTGAGGTAGAGGGAGAGGAAGAGAGAGGGAGAGAGAAAGACGGAGGAAGGGGGTTCACACACACAGAGAGAATATAGTAGTGATAGGTAACAGATGTGCTTCAAAGTCAGCATCACATTTTAAATCTCAGACATCACATGGCATCCTCTTCGTCCTGATTGGGGGTATTTTCACCTCGAATAAGCCGCATGCTGGTTGGTTGAAAGGCAATCATCCCATCGTCGTGAAGCAAACTCTGCGCTCCACGGCGAGGAAGAGGAAGAAGAGGGACGGCGGAGCAGATCGCCCGTGCTCACACTTTCCTTTTTTTTTTTGTTAAGGGCTCGTTTGGCAATAGCCGGCACAGACCGCAGGAACTGTTGTGTTGGTGGTGGTGGTGGAGGAGGATGATGACGGGCAAATCTGTGAAAGACGTTGACAGATACCAGGCTGTCCTCAACTCTTTACTGGCGCTGGAGGAGAACAAATACTGCGCTGACTGTGAATCGAAAGGTAGGTGATTTCCATCAGGGTCATGTTTCCCCGGGTTTTGTGCCCGAGGCGCGCGCCCGGCGCTTGAATCGACCCTCTTTGATCGTTTACTACGCTGGAAAAAAAAATGCTGCACTGCATTCATCATCCCTCGGCCAATTGCATTGTACTATGGTGCAAAGACGTGGAGCCACATCCTTACACGGCTGGAGCATGGCATGCAGTTACATCATGCCAAGCTACCTCAAGTAATAGGATCTAAAAAGGGTTTAAAGGGTGAGAACTGCGTGGCGGGATGAAGTGAGAAAATGCGCTCATTAGTGAAAATGACTCCAGCTATCGCCGCTCAGAGATGGAGTTGAAGGCACCTGTGCTGACTTTGAGTCACCCTGAACACACTGTTCTTGCAGACTGGGAGCAGGCAGTGAAACCCAACTCTTAACAAAGAGGCACTGCAATGTTCTTACAACACTGAGCTGCAATTCTCAGTGATTACCTATATAGCAAGGAGACTTATTGAGTTGCTTGATTGTAGTGGAGCCAGGCTGTCTTTTTATACACTGAATCACCATAATCACACTGTCAGGTGTTCTGTGTGTTCATTTGTGTGTAGCCTCAAGGAGGCCTTGAACCTTTATTTTTGCCATAGGGGTGGGTAAACACTGGTGTTTTGGTTGCAAATACACTCAGTCAGAGTCTTGAGTCAACAAACAGACTATTCAAAGGTTGCTCTTTATTTGGTTTTCGGATGAGCCATCAACAAGTTGATGAGGCCGTGGGGCTGTTTCCTTATGTTAGTTAAAGAGCTCTTGCATATTTTTCTGGAAAAGGAATGTTTTTGTTTACATGCATGTTGTGTGGGCCTTGTAGGTGGATTCTGTAGAGCATACAGCCGGTGTTGGGCTTATCGAGATCAACATCACTGACTCTAAATGTTTGAAAGGAAGCGCTGTGTGTACACAAATCACTGTAACGCAGGAGGACACCCTTGGTAAATACAAACTTTGAGAATGATATGTGTAGACAGACCCCAGTTTAAAATGGGAGTATTCACTATATATGCGAAAGTTACTGACCACTTGGCAAACATTAAAGGCAACCATCAGAAGATGGGCACACTGGGGTCATAAAGGGATGGACATGCTCAGGAACAGCACTCTAGTAGGCTGTGGTGATTTAAACGATGCTTAGTTGGTATGAAAATATTCCCCACGCAGGATGGATCCATGCTTTCATGTTGTTTCTAGCAAACTCTGACCCTAACATCCAAATATTGCAGTAGAGATCTCGATTCATCAGACTGGGCAACATTTTTACGTCTTCTGTTGTCCATGTGTGGTGAGCTTGTATGAATTGTAGCCTCAGTTTCCTGTTCTCAGCTGACAGGATTTACACCCAGTATGATCTTCTGTGGTTTGAAGTACATTTGCTTCAAAGTTTGTTGTGCCTTCAGAGATGCTGTTCTGTATACCTTGGTTGTAACGAGTGATTCTTTGTGTTTCAACATTAAATCTGTCTGGCCATTCTCCTCAAACCTCCAACATCAACAAGGTATTTTCAGGCAGAGAATTTATGGTCAATCTTCTGTTTACAAGGGGCAACCAATCAGATTTGGCTTGTCTCAGACATAGGAAGATCTAAATGAAGATAAATAAGGATTATTCTGAACTCTGATTCATGCAAAGCTACTTTAGCAGAGTCCAAGACTAAAAACACAGACTTAGTAGTGAGCATATTAGTATCCTTTTTTTTATAATAATACCGAATTATATGCAAAGTTTTGCCTTAATAAAAAAATCTAACATCTATAGGCTAAACTGTATAGTCAGCTAAGTCTATACAAGTTCAAGTGTGTAATTAAAGCTTTAGAAAAAATCAGTTCCAGCTGTCAAGTCAGTACAGCACATCATCTGTCCTGGGAGGATGTTAATACTGTATCTAATTTGTGATAGACATTTTTTTCCTTTTAAAACACATTTGTACATTACTTTAGTAAGATGACATGTGACCACAAGGTCTTAGTTGTATTTAAACTGAATAAGTCACCAGATCTATGAATACAACAACGCAGGGTTTTGTTAATGTTCCTATTGCCTTTGGGTGCTCTTTTAAACAAGATATTTAGAAGTGATGCTGTTCGCCTTCAGGCAAACACACTCGTGACTGCTCAGTGGACAGTTTGAAAACAGCACAGTATGATTGGGCTCCTGCAGCTTATTTACATACTGTTTGAAGGCTCGGACGCAGACTTCAGAAGCACAGAGAATAAATGATATCTTAGAAGATTATATTTGCATATGTGATGCTAATACGATGCTAATTTTATGACTTTTTACTCCCAAATCAGGCACATGTGGAGAGAGAAAGGGTATTTAAGTTAGCTACACAAGTTTGATTACTACTACGTTTCTCCTTTTTCTTGCATATTAAAATCATGGTCACAAAGGCTCTCTTGGTGTGAACTCTTTAGATTTTCAATGTAAGAGCTCGACATCCCTGCCAACCACACCCACACACACGAACAAAAACATGTTTTCTGTCAAGATTTCACACATTACAAAATCTTTGTACAATTTGCTAAAAGGGTGTCCACACAGGAAGGCTCTTGCAGCAATGTGACGAGCAGTGACCGTGGGATGACAGTAAAAATTTGAATTGTGGTCACAACAGGAAAAATAACCACTGGAGAGTAAGGGAATTAACCACCAATGGGTTTAAAGAAAATGACTGACATGTGACTGTGTGATTCATGAGTACACCCTGGACAGGTTGCCAGATCTTATTATTTTTGATTTTTAAAATATAATGTTTTGTTCCAAAATAAAAAAATTTCCAGTAAATATGAATACAGTTTTAAAGAACAGCAAATATTATTTTGTTATAAAAAGCTTTTATTTTGAAAGGTTACAAAGTCCTGGCTGACTCTGTGATCTGAGCTGATGCTCAGAGAGTGTTTTTTTACCTCTTTGCTGAGTAGTGCATTTCTCAAAACTGTAAGTACAGATTCCAGACTACACACTCGAGTCGTGCACAGCCGCACAAGTGCACACCTCAAGCACATTAGTGCCCTCCCCTGCCCTCTCTCTCTTATCAGGTTTTCTTTTTTCTTTTTGGCCATATGGCTCGTGATGGGGTTTGGTCTAATCTTGTTTGCACCTGATTGCTGTTGCACGTTCATCACCTACCTCTCTCCCTCCCTCCCTCCCTCTCTCAGGATGATCAGAGAGGAAGTGGTGTGGTGTATGGAGCCAAGAACGTGTTTATTCCAGCGAATGCAAACACACAACAGCAGCACTCTTAGACATTCCCCTGTCTATTATATACTGCGCCACTTAACAATATCTCTTTCTCCGACTGTAGATTACTGCCTGTGCGCCGCAAACTTCCTGTCTCTGTCTGTTTCTCTGGGCTGAATGACTTTGTGTGCTATTTGTTTATTTATTTCTACCACTTCCTCATAAAGTCACACCCCTCCAGTAAATCCTTAATACTGCCAGGAAATAATAAAGAGACAGGGGGAGAGGCAGAGGGTTAGGCAGGGTGCATAATGTAGTCAACACTTCAACCTCTGGCTTCAGTCTCAAGGGGCTGTGTACATGTGCGTGCATGTGTGTGCATGTGTGTTTGAATGAGCATAAAAGCATGTCTCCCTTATTGTCTCTATTGTACTTGTGTTTACTCATGCTGGGCCCTGGTTGCTGTGGTGATATCACCTGATGATGCCAGGCTGTCTACCTCTACCATGAGCTCTCAGTCCCCTCCTCCCCTCGGACCCTTTTTAATCTCATCCAATGAGAAGTCAGCAGAGATTTCCATTCAGAGAAGAAGGTTATTGGACGTGTGTGTCGGTGTGTGTTTGTTTGCGCGTGTGTCCTTGGCTGGCACAAAGTACAGAGCCTCAGTACCAGAGAGAGGGTGGCACCGTGCTACATTGCTGTGCGCACAACTCTCTAATACACAGCGATGGCCAGATTAAGCTGCAAAGGGCTTTGGGACAAATAAGCTGCTGGGTCCCTTTTTAACAACCCTGATCCTGCTTTTACACCTGCAAATCGTATCACTGCGCAGGAGGACACACGCGTCTCGTGCTAGTGACAGCGTGACAGGATGTAAACATTAAGGGAGTCCTTCCTCAGCTGAGCTGTAATGTTGTCAGCTGCATGCTTCCTTACCAAGAAAAGGACTCATACCAGAAACTGCTCACCGTAGTGTTTTGGAGTAAATGGGTCACGATTTCTGGAAAAAGATGCTACTGTTGAGTTAGTAAGCAGTTTTTAACCATGTATTTCCATTATAATGAAAAGAAGGCACAGCTAACATCACCAAAACTAGTTAACTTTATTAACACAGAATATCAAAACAGAGGAAAAACCCATACATTTGCTTTTGGTGTGAACTATCCCTTTAAGAATGCTGAATATGTAAGCGCCAGCTTAGCAATCGCTAAGCAATAGTGGGAAGGAAAAAGTGTCGTTTTAGCAGGAAGAAACCTCCAGCACAACCAGGCTCAAGGAGCTGCAGCCATCTGCCATGACTGGCTGGGGGTGAGAGGATGGAGACACAGGACAAAAGATACACTGTGGAGGAGAGCCAGAGATTAATGATTAAATGCAAAGTGGTGTATAAACACAGAACGAGTGAAAAGAAAATCAGTCTGAGGCTGAGCTGGGCTCTTAGAGAGTTCTTGTACATTGAAACTTTGGCCATTTTTAACATGAGCACTGACCACTGTAACAATTTATAGGATAAAACATAAAGATATTGCCCCTCCGTAAGACTATCCTAAACACGACTTTTCTCGTGGCCCCTGAGTTGCCCGTTTGGACTGATTGGTGATTCAGCCTTATACAACCATGTAGGAAAAACACACAGAAGTATAATAAGGTCACACGTCAGTCTGCTGGGGTTTTTTATCTGTGAATTGGCCGCACAGGAAGCAGACAAAATGTCAGGAGCAGCTTAAAGAGAGCAGTTATTAAAAACCTAAAAATCATATAGCTGTGAGCTCCTCAAAGGTAAGT